AGCAGCTCCACCACTCCCACCCGGTGTCAGGCTTCTGGTCCTTGTTCCGCCTCCTGGGGGCTGCTACTGACGCCTCCAGCGAAGCGGCAGGGCCCATCTTCCCGCCCCTCCGTCGACCAAGTTTGGCTTTGTTGTTCCCGGCGTTTCTAACTCGCAGTCCTCTGTCGTTACTCAGGCACCCGGGGGGAATTCCAGTGGGAGGGGGAGGTCAAGGCCCACTGTCAGTGGCCACACGTATTCCTCCTCTCTCTCTCCCCCAATTCAGCCAGCTGGAGGAGGCTCTCGGAGGGGGGGAGAGTAACGCTCGCTGCCGGCGCCCGTGCTCTATCCTCCTCGTTCGCCACTCGCTCGACTCAGTCCACTGGGAGGGACTCCGAAAGGAACCCCAGGAAAAGGGGGGCGTCCCAGGCTCACCTCCCCTCGCTCGCCGGGCCGCACTGTCCTTCCAGAGGCCGCCCCATTCCACTTGCTGCACGGCTTGCCTCCAGTCCACCGGCTCGTCTCATGCTTTCAGTCCGCCGGTCAGCCTCCCAATGCCGGCACCCGGCTTGCGGCAGTCCGGGGTCAGCAGCAATCGTTCTCCCGCAAGGCCAACGCCAGCGTTTCTTCTCCGGATGTGCTCCCGACTACAGCTGCTCGCCGGTGGACATACAGGCACCCCGTTCCTCTCCACAACCTCCACAGCCACCGCACACAGCTGAGACATCTCCATGCAACGGTATGCCCAGTTCTTATCGTTGTTTTCGTTATGCCCCGATGCAGGCTAGCTCATTCTAAAAGTTCAGGGAAGGAGGGCGAGCACACACCACCTCCTTCGCCGCCATCTTAGTCTCTGTGTCTGTTCTGTGTCCTTCTGATAAAGGATATTTAGAAGCCCCGTTCCATTATGACCTAAAGAGTCCTGGATTCAAAGGATAGGGCCCAGGTTTTTGATACTCACCACCAGCCCCGTAGCTAGGGATTTTTTGGGGAGGGGGCCTTGGGGAGGCAGTAGCCAATTAAAACAAAATTAATTAAATTAACTTTGATTTAATTGGTGGGACTCCTTAGAACTCCTAAGGCAGCCCTGTACCCCCCAGGCTCCAGGGCAAGGGGTGGTAATGCCCAGTGGCCGTAATTTCCCTCCATCCCCACTCAGCAAGGGCAGGCCTTCCCTGCAGAGTGTCTGGCTCCCCCTAAGGAGCCCCAGTTCCTCTTCCCATGGCACGGCACAAGGGGCAGCCTGATGTCCATGGCTTGGGGGATCCATGGCTCAGGGAGGGGCCCATAAAAACCACTAGGGGGCCAGGCCCCGTGGGCCCCATGGTAGCTACGGGCCTGCTCACCACAACCAAAGCAGCAGCATCTTTGGATGAGAAGCAGAAAGAGGAATCCCAGCACAGCCCTCGCCATTGCTCAGAAGCAGCCTCTACTCCCTGGCTCCTCCTCTGGGGCCTCCTGGGTGGGGATCTGAGCAGCCAAGTTCTGAGCCGTCACGGAGAGAAAGCATGTTCTGAAGTTCTCTGCCCTCCTCCTCCTCCCCTGGCCCGAAGCAGACACTGAACAATACCGAACAGACATTGAGCCATACCAAGACCAATCCACCCAGCAGGAAAGGGCAGACTGAGAGATCTTTGATTACAAGGTTTGCATCTTGCTAGGGCAGGAGGAAAATGCCCTATCCCTTTAACAGAGGCTTAATGTGTGGACATGGGCTACTGATGGTTTTCATGTCATGGGGTAAATAACATCACTTGGTAAATAAGCCTCTATTAAATGGACAAGAGATTTTTCTTCAGGCAGTTGTCAACCCTGCATCTCACACTCAGACCCACTGATTCTCCCACCTACTGCTTGTGAAATTCTGATCAAGGTATTCAAAAGTCTTGTGCTAGAGAGTTTTGTCAGCCAATGGCAGTAGCATGCATTTCTGCAACAGTGGGGGCTTGGCATTTAATTGGAGCAGCAACCACGGGGGGAGTGTGTGTTAAGCTTTTCGTTTGGTGCCATCCTTCCCAATCCAAGCGGTGTCCCCTAGAGCAGAGGTTCCCAAACTTATTTGGCCTACTGCCCACTTTTCAGAAACTTTTTTACTCAGGCCCCCTCTGGAAATCGACCTTCAAGAAGTGGACAAAAAGGGTGACCCGAAAAAAGCCCACAGGAACAATGCCCACAGAAAAAAACCCACGGTCATAAATGCTCACAGGAAAAAAGCCCATGTGGAAAAATGCCCATACACATAAAAGCCCACACGGAAAGAAGCCCACACGGAAAAAATACCATGTAAAGCACCATAATGGTGGATAACCACTCATCTCCACTTATGAGAATGAACAGGTATTACCTATCTTATCTCCCTTATAAATAAAAGCCGAATGGTGGTGGCACTTCTGTAGAACATTCCACATGCTCCGGAATTGGTTGGCCCCCTGGTGTGTCACTCACAGGGCGTCTCCCTCCATTCGCTGTGCTGCTGCCTGTGTGGGTGTCCTCCCGCCCACGGAGGCAGCGACCACCCTTTTGCCCTCAGTTTCCTTCAAGCTCCACTGGCCAGACACCCGCACTCGGCCTGCAGGCACCAGTTGGGGTCATGCCACTGCTGCTGAGCTGCGGCAGCCAGAAGCCACCACCAGCCAAGAGGAGGCCCAGGCTGACATGCGCTGGCTCCACCCAGCCGCCTGGAAAGGCACTGAGGGTGGCCCGTTCCCTCGCGCCTCCCCCATGCGGTCTGCGGATGAGGGGAGATGGCGCCATGCCACCGTGCCTGAGGCCAGCCAGGGAGCCAGGCCCAGCCTGTCCCACCGCCCCGTGGCGGGGACCCCTCTCCATCTCCACCTCCCTCCCTGATCCCAGGGAAGACCAGGAGAAGGCAGGAAAAGGCTGCTTTAGATAGGTTCTAGACTCTTCTTTCTTTATGCTTCCACTGCCCCCTTATTTTTATTCAACACCCCCCATTGCACCCAAGGCTCCTACTGCCCACCTGGATTGTTCCAGTGCCCCCCCCCCCGGAGGGCGGTATTGCCCACTTTTGGAACCAGTGCCCTAGAGGGATGAAAAGATACTGGCTCCATATCTCTTCTTCCCTTCAGGGATGGGGGGGGGGGAAGCAATTTTGCGTAGGAAAATGGCTGAGGACTGAAAGGGTTAAGTATCCATTTGTTAATTCTGAAATCAAAACGAGAGCACCCTCAACTGTAGTAAAGTTAAGAGAGAGAAAGAAAACCTGCCCAGGGATATTTCATGAGCCATGGCTCATATTTCTCATGCCATCATGCCTTGTTTGGCACTTCACATCATCAGGGCTTGATTCCGTGCAGCCTGAGCGTTTGCACAGCACTTCTTGATAAGGGCTCAGAGTGTGTCCAATAGGGTGTCCAACTACTGCTGTTTTAGTACAAGATCTAACATACATCTTACCACTATAGAGTATACAGCTGTTGTACTCTTATTCTTTGGTCAAAGCCAAGATCTTTTTGGAGCCTGTCATAGACTCAAGTGTTCACAATCTGCCACTGTTCCACTTACAGTTTATTACAATCCGTAGACTTCAGCTTTATATTATGCCCTACACACACACCCCTTTGCACAACATATGTCTTGAAGAACTCTAGCAAACTGAAAAGCTTGCTGCATTGTGCTGTAACATTTTTGCTGCTTATAATAAAGGTACTGCTTTACTGTTGGGTTTGGTGTTTTATATGAGTAAGATTCTTGCTGAAACTCTTTTGTAAACCGTAAATGATTCCACATTAACATGGCATGCTCAAAGGAAATCCATAATAAAAACCTAGCTTGAGTGCTCCTGAAGTGCATTGTGCTGTGACAGGCAATCTACTTCCAATATACACATTTCAAAGGGAAATGGGAGTCTGTTGCAGCAGGGATGAAAAGGACCCTCATGGTGGCATCTTAAAGACTAACAAGTGTATTGTGGCGTAAGTCTTTGTGGACTCCATCCATCAGATGTGGACTCCAGTCCTCAAAGACTTATGCCACAATAAATCTGCTAGTCTTTAATGCTCCATAAGACATCTTTTCACCGCTTACAAAGAAGAAATTCCATGAGGTCTCCTTTCTTGAGTCATTCCAGCATTGCAATGGTGAAAGACTCAGCTGGTGAGATTCTCCTCTCTATGCAGCTCTTAAAGGTATGGGAACCTCCTGTAGGTGAAGTGTAGAACCTTCTCAACATTTCTTAGATAAATTACCTACTGTGGCCTTAGGGTGCAGCCACTACACAGTGCCAGACTCCGTGTGATCATTCATTAGGAGCAGATATATCTAAGAGCAAGCCTTTGAACCTGTTGCCCCAATCTTTCCCTGAAATGGTGCCATGGTCCCGTGGTCAAGTTCTTAGCCCAGGTGAAGAGAAGTCCTAATGTCTGCTTACTTGAGAGTAAGATCCAGTAAACAAAGTGGGGCTTATTTGTTTATTTAGAAGACACCCCTCTAGAGATCCTGCCTAAATTTGGGGTGTTTCCTTGCCATGGAAGGGTATAATGGCAAGATACAATCCTAAACTTACTTGGATGTACTGGGATCAATGAGGCTTTACAAGTCAGTGTGTGGGGCTGGAAGGATGCTGAAGTTCTTGACAGTAAACAAAACGTAAATATAATTTGAATATGACTCATGACGTGCACAAAAAGCTCCACCTCTTGAGTACTCAAAACATGGTAAAAACATGAGGATTACAGACAGTAGATCTTTCTTACCTAAATATATTTGACTTAACAGCTGTTCAAATAAGTTTTTAATATACAATAATACCACCAAGAGGTATATGTTAGTTTATGTAGAAATGTATGAAAAAGACCACACAATCTGGGTCCTGAGAACAGAAGGATCACAGGCAATGATTTTTTAAACTTAGGTGAGGAAATTGGACCGTGCGTGATGTTGTTTCATGGGAGGAGCCGCAGCATGCTGAGCACAGAGCAGTGGCTATAAAGGAAGATGAAGGGGAAACCAAGGGCATTTTGTTCACACCGAGGCTGACTCTCTAGTCTGTGCTGTGTGTGATGGAGTGGCTCCTAAGGGTCTGGCTTTTGTTCTTTTTACTTGCTGGTATCTATGCACAAAATACTTCAGGTAAAATGGGAAGAGGAGTAGGGATACTAAATGCTAGTCAGCTATTTCTCCTTGACCATTCTGTTGAAACCTTTCTCCTATTTACGCCAACTCTAGAAGTGCTGGTTTAAATAGTGCTGGCTGCAATTGTTTCCTTGTTCGATGCTTCCTGCTCATGAGAGTGCCTTCCTCCTCAAGGGAGTATTCAGGAGACAAGGTGGCCTCAAGAACAGCTTTAGCAGTTATTAGTGGTGAATTTTCTTTGACCCCAGCTGATAGGCACAAAAGTCTTGCAGTGCTCTGATGACTTAACAAGCTGTAATTTTAATGTACTTTTTTGTGGACTAGAGCCTGCTCTACCACACTCGTGGTATTTATTATTCTAAAGGATTATTCTGATCCACATACAATTCTTCTCTGTCATGTTCATATATATACACACACACACACACACTAGCCTGCTACCTGTGATTCGCTACAGTATTTAAGTTCCGTAAATCCAGTTATAATACTGATGATGTGAAATTTGAAATGTGACATTTGTTGTAGGAATTCTAACAGAGAAGATTGTAGTATAAGAACTGAAGTGAGACATATGTCTCCCCCCCCCCCTCTACTGAAGGGCCTCTCTGTAGACCACATGGGTTAGGGTTGCCCTCAGGTGCTGGGATCACCAGGCTGCTTGGTGAGCTCACTCTGGAGCAGGCCACATAGAACTGTCCATTTAAGAAGCAGCTGTCTGTTAAGTCAACTCCTGCCACCTTCCACGAAAGTGATGGCCTCTCTACTTGTGTTCCTGGATTGTTTTGCTCATATGGAGACTGTGTTGTTTTGAGCACCTCAGGGTGATCTTGCTGGTACTTGGCCTGTGCAGCTCAGTGCACTGCAGGAGTACTATGTGCAAATGTCTTTGCTGCATTCCTAAGTTGCCTCCTCCTTGTAGTGTTGGTGTATCTGGCTGGAAATCTGCCAGGAGCATTCTTGGGGGCAGTGAGAGGTGTGAGGGGGAGTTGGTGTGAGGGACTGGTGATGTGGTGGACATTTCTTCAGGTTCATGAGGGAGGCACGCATCAAAATGACTCCTAGAAATGTCCTTTACTATCTCCCCATAAACATTCATACCCTGGCCCTGCTCCTAAACCTGACAGACACCAGCCTGTCTGGTGGTGGGGGGGGGGGGGGATTGTATTTAAAGGCATTGTAGTCAGGTAAACTTAGTAACTCTCAAGGACGGGCATGCTGACAGCTTTTACTACCTCTGTCAGCATGCCTGTCCTTCGGAGTTACTAAGTGTAATGGATGAGGATCATCTTGAATATATTTTTCTCTGAATGATTGCAATCCATAATGAATGAATAATTGGAGGACACAAATTTTGCTTACCTGACTATGTTCAGAAGAAGTACAGTACGAAACGGAAGCATACTCCGGGGAATTTCGTCAATGTCTTCTTATGATTCTTGGAAAAGGACTCTTTGAACAATATTCATCTACTTTGATATACTGTGACATTTGTATGTGTTAATATATATACACTTTGCAGCCGCTCTGCGTGGCAGCTTCTTTGCGTTTTGTGCAATAGTTCCTTGTAGCTGTGACCTTCGCTTTTTGTTCATTAGCTTCCAAGATCTGACAAGATCAGGCTTGCCTGCCTGGGCTATCCAGGTCAGGGGGGCTCTTTCATGGCCTCCATGGCAGAGATCAATGCCACTGAGAGTGGCTCTGCAAGTTGTTGGGCCTGGTGCTACTGTAATCATTCGCCTCCTGGGTTTCCCTGCCCTAGAGAGAAAAATCCTGGAGGGGGGAGTGTCTGCAAAAGTGCAAGACCGAATGGTGGGTGGCTCCTATTTAAGTGTGTGTAGGACTGCAGTATTAGTGATCTAATAATCCTGTAAAGTAGCTTCTTCACTACACAGGTATTTGACTGTACAGGAATGGATGTTCAGTGGTGGTTCCACACTGGCTGCTTAGTCTGCTATTGCCATCATTTATTAGGTCTTTTTATGGAGAATCACAATTGTGGTGTTGTCACGTGTATTCTGTGTTTGTCTCCACCCTCACCCATGAAGGATGAAGTCGTAATTAGGCTGGAAACTGCAGGGTGACGTGGAGCCTCTGCTGAACAGGACTTGCTTTCCGGTAGACAAGAGGGGCTAGAGTTCTACAGGGACTTCAGCCAATGACCTGTGGAACCCCATTTTCAGTTCTTCTTGTAATAATCCTTCACTGCACAAAACCTTTCCCAGAATGATCTTTTCTGTGCCATTTTTAAAGGCAGAGGAATCTTGCCTTCCTTTGCCTTTGGTCAGAGTATCAACTTTCTATCTGCTCTTTACAAAGAGGGAGACATTTATAGGATCATCATCACTACTATTTCATTACTTTGAGCTGCATGTCTCTCTCTTTTATTGTGTTACTCAGCTATTTTTGGGCAGGAACGCACAGGAACGGAGTTCCGGCTGGCTCCTGAGGTGGCCACGCCCAGCAGGAGCTCATTAGCATACTAGGCCACACCCAACAGCAGAAACTCATTAGGATTGGCTACGTTAGGGCTGTGTGGCCTAACATGCAAAGGAGTTCCTGCTACAAAAAAAGGCCCTGGGTTTTGACAACAAAGAAGGTAAACAGAATAAGAAGCGAAAGGTGGGTGTGGCTGGATAACCACACTTCTGGTAACATGGGGCATGGCCTAATATGCTAATGAGCTGTGCTATCAAGGGTGTGGCCTAATATGCTAATGTGTTTCTGCTGTTGGGTATGGCCTATTATGCTAATGAGTTCCTGCTGGGCTTTTTCTACAAAAAGAGCCCTGGCTTCTGTCATTTAAAGCAAGGCATTGTGAATGGTCCTGTCCCCACACTATTATCCCTTTGTTCTTCGTAACCTTGCTGCACACAGTTGATCGTACAGGTATGTATGTCAGTCTTATGATGTCTTATGTCTTTGGCAGTGTCTGTGTCATGCGGCAGCTCACACCTGGTGATCTCCGTTCCGGTGGATCTCTTTGGGACCGGTGTACCTGTTCGTGCCAGTGAATTGGCTTTGGGGTCTGACTGTGGAGTGACTGCTGTACACCAGAATACGCTATTGCTGGAATATCCTCTCTCTGCTTGTGGGGCCTCCAGAAAAGTAAGAAAATGGCATTGCCGTTCCTTTTTAGTTATTTAGGGGTTTTGGTATCAAAGGCTTTTGGTGGTACTAGGTGACAAACATTCCTCCTGGATAGAAGCAATAGTTCGTGAGCAGTGTTCCCTCTAAGCTGAGTAAGTGTGAGCTGGCTCACAGTTTTTCAGCCTCCAGCTCACAGATTTTAGTCTTTGCTCAGGAAGGATGACTCCAGATCACTCGCTCACAAATTTCATGCCAGTAGCTCACAGAGTAGAATTTTTGCTCACAAGATTCCACAGCTTAGAGGGAACATTGTTCGTGAGGCCTCCCGTCAACTGCAGTAGGTTGTCAGCTCCATGTTGGGAAATACCTGCAAATTTTGGGGGAGGAGCCAGAGGAGGGTGGAATTTGGGGAGGGGAGGGACTTCAGTGGGGTATAATGCCACAGAGTCCCCTTTCCACAGTGGCCATTTTCTCCAGGTGACCTGATCTCGACTGCCAGGAGATCAGTGGGAATAGTGGGAAATCTCCAGCCACTATCTGGAGGTTGGCAACCCTATGGGGCTAGAATGAATCCTGTGCAACCAAGAACCTGATGAGCAAATCTTAGTGTTTGTTGCTTCAGGGAATGAAACGGGGGCCTGCCAGTCTTCCTATCCTGCTGTCCTGCTCCTAGGCCCGCTGTTGTGTTCTACAGCAGCAGCCACCATTACCTATTTTTTTCAATCAGCAATTGACTATTTTTATAACAATCTGGGTATCAGGGTTTCTGAATTCTTTCTTTCTCCCTTTCTCTAGCCCCTTTCGTTGCAGAAATATGCCTTTCCCTCTTGTGTCTCAGTGATGCAAATGGGTGGGGAGGAGACTGGCCTTTTTAAAAATGAAAGCTGGGGATTCAGAGAACCTGATACACAGATAGTTATGATGATACTGAGTTGCTGGAAAAGGACCCCTAGTGGCAGAAGGACGAAGTGGCTGCCATAGGGATGGAGCAGGAAAAATGGTTTGCCACATGGGCGGGACTGGGAAAATCCAAACTTTACTATCCATATGGCAACCACCCAGGCTTTTCTACAGACTTTCACAAAAATTTACAGCAAAGCAGCATCGGAAAAGATCCAAGAAAAGTCAGGGAAAATTGGGAGGTGCATGAATGGTGCATGATGTTATGGGGAATTTTCCTAATAGCAAATCGGGGGCAAATAGTCTAGTTAAGTAAGTGACAGTGCTTTTCTCTAATGAAAATTGTTTTTGCAAAGATTACTTTGAATTTTGCTTTGATTTTGTTGGAAATTTGTGTTTTGCAAGGTCTAAAATTCAGTCATTGTAGGGTTAATGTGTTTACCTTGTGTGCTGTTGTTTAGACTGACCTGGAAGGGAACCTGGTAGAAAGCCAATGGAAAGAAAGCCCGGGAAACTGAAGCATATTTATCAACAATCATTGGTTAATGCATTAGGTGATTTCCTTCTAGGGTTCAAGAAGAAAGGAAGAATCTCCATTACTATCCATGTGTCTGTTGTTGCAAGCATGTAGTCTTAAGTGTTTGTTGGTTTTCCTGTGTCCCCTTCCCTTTAGAAATAAAGATTTTTACATAGAAAAAAAATGCCTCCTCTCCAGTGAACAAAGATTCATTCCAATCTCTGAATATTTAACTATTTGTACCAATTTTCCAACAGATTTGTACAACCAAATATATAGGGTTGCCAAGTCGTTTTGACTCACCGGCGGGGGAGTGTCGTTTCGATCCAGGAGCTTCATTGGGACGCGCGCGCCGCCAGAACGTCACAACCCCCCCCCCCCCCCCGAAGCTGCGTCACCAGAGGTGACGCATGACATACAGCACATTGGGGGCGTGGCCCAGATAGTCGGGGGGGAACCATATGGTTTCCCCCCCGACGATCTGGGCCACACCCCCAATGTGCTCTATGTCATGCGTCACCTCTAGTGACGCAGCTTCGGGGGGCGGAGTTCCCCCCGGGGCCCAATTCCGCCGTGGCGGAAATCGGGCCTCCAAAGTGGGGGTTTCCCCACCCCCCGCCCCCACTTGGCAGCCCTACAAATATATAAAGTTGATCACCTATTTATTGGATGTCATGTCTATGTGGGGGGAATGACACACACACACACAAGAATTACCTATTTCCTACTTTAAGACACATTTTCCAGCTTTCAGAAATACAGGAGATTTCCCCATGGGCTATCTGCCCTGTGTTCAGCGGTGTTGGAAAGTGGGGGTTTTCTTCCTGTTTCCCCACAGCATCATAGTGCATTCATGCACCTTCTGGTGTTTCCCTGGCATTTCTTTAGTCCTTCTCAAACTCCTTTGCTACTTAGTTTTGTAAAAGATTACAGTAAAGTCAAGATGGCTGCCATGCAGGACGATTGGACTTTTCCACTTATTTTCCGTCACCCTGTCCCCATGGAGGCCATTTCCTTCCACTCAGCAGCTTTGCAAAAAAAAAAATATATTAAATCTCATTATACCATTATAACAGGTTCTGTGAATTCCCAGTTTTCATTTTAAAAAGAGTCTAGCTCCTTACCTTGTGGAGATATAAGGGGAACGGAATATCTCTGCCACACAGCGGGAGCAGGTCTCCCTCCCTCTGCCTCTAGTCCTCTGCTGCTGCTGGGTGCGGCAGTGGGGAGAAGTGGGGTTTAGAAATGCCATTGTCACAATGCCTTTTCCAGTCACGTAACCAAAAGTGGCATCACATGTTGCTGTGATTCTCTAGAAACTGCCAAAAAGGAGTATAGTAGAACCATAGAGTTCTGGGGGACCACTGGAGCATAGTAGTGATGAGTGAGGCCATTTTCATTTCTGCAACTGGGAGTGTGGCATCATGCAATGCCCGGCCCGGCCCCCCAAAATATAAAAGGGGGATGGCTGTTGCTGGGTGACGAGGCTGGGAAACTGCTACGTGGCATCCCTGTTGCTGCTGCACTGTATTGGCTGCCATGCTGGCAATGGGGAAACCATACAAGCTTGTTCCCATGAGGACACCTCCATAGTCTTCCCAGGAACACTTGTTGTACTAAGTACAAAGCCCGAGGTTTGGGAAAGTGTTGTTGCTTGAGTAGACATCGAACCAAGGTGGGTCATAATGAGGTGGTCTTACGGATGTTTGGCTCTTCTGCCACTTCTTTCACACCTCATTGCTTGAAAGAAAAGCTAAAAGGTTGGAAGGGGTATTATGTTGTACACAATTCATTTCAGTTTGTTCTGAGAATTCTGCACCTCAAGGGCTTGAAAATGAGTGCTTTTATCTGCCTCTTAGCTTCATCCAAACAGTATGCATTATGGAAATATTCTTCACTACAAACCTTTAGCCACAAATGGTGTGATCCGGACCAGTCGCTTCTCCCATTCCATAGACTGTTTCTATCCCAGGTAAGTCCTGGTTTGAAAGGGTATATCCTGCTAGGTATATATGATGAACTATCCCAGTTGTAACTGTTTTTTTTCCTTAGACTACTTGTGGTTCTGATCCCTGATCTAGCCTCAGGTTTTCACAGATTCATCATATAAATCTACTTTAGAACCAGCTGTTCTTATCTATCAAAGGCACAGCAAAAAAGCTACAGTGCTACTTTCTCATACACTGGATCTATGAAGCTTAATCTGCACAAGACAGAAGTGCTACCGGTGAGCAGAAGGTCTGATCCAGGATTTAAAGTGTCACCGATTTTGGATGGGGTTTCCTTGAGAGAACAGGCCGGAAGTCTGGGGGTGCTCTTAGACCCGGCCGATTGCTGGATAAGCAGGTGGCAGCTGTGGCCTAGAGTGCCTCTTACCAGCTCTGACTGGTTAGCCAGCTGTGAAGGTCTGGCCACTGTGGGGCACAGGCTTGCCGGGGTCCTGCTGGTGTCAGGAGACCCCCCTACCATTAGTGGGTGCTTCTCGGTGTTATTCAGCCGGGCAGCGGTGGGGGGGGGAGCAGGAAAATGAATTAAAGTTGTGCTAATTTTTACCCATTATTATTTGTTTTATTAGGCTTTGTGTCAACCTTCTTGGTTATCTTGTTGGCCTTCAAAGTCTCAGATGGTTTGGCAGTCTGGGACCAACTACCTGCTTTGAGCCCCCCCCCCCCCCACGGCCGCCTTCTGAGGTTAGGTGGCTGGCAATCTGGGAGAGGGCCTACTTGGTAGTCGCACCAAAACTTTAGAGCCCTCTTCCCAGAGAGACACACAAGCGCGTCCCTTTCTGTTGCCACGTTCTGGCAGCAGATGAAGACCCTTTTTTTTGTTTCTTTTGGCATTCCCTTAGTGACACTTCCTTCCTGTGCCATGTTTCAATTGTTCTTAATGTATTTGTATGTATTTTAGCTCTGGCTTTAATTGTTTTAATGATGTTTCTTGTCGGTTTTAATGGTTTTTAAGATGTGATTTTATTATATATGTTTTAATTAGTAAACTGCCTCAGTGGCCCTTATGATGGCAGAAGGTTTTGTACAATAAAATGAAAATAACCAGAGGTCTAATTGCAAGTACTGTTCATGTGCCCCTAATATTCTGCAAAATAATTAGGGTTGCCAGACCCGGGTGGAGGCAGGGGTCCCCTGCCCAGTCCTACCCCCATCCACTGATCAGCTGACTGGCAGGGGAGGCCTTTTCTGGAGAAGGCTTAGGCCTTGTCTTTAGCATCACACAGGAAGTGATATGCCAGTGACATCCGGGTGACAAAAACTCTATGGTAGAAGCCGGTTTTACCGTAGAGCTTTTGCCCAAATACTAGAGCGTTGCCCTGACGTTGCTGGTGTGATGACATCACTTCTGGTGCAATGCCAGCCATGAAGCCTAGAGGTCTTCTCCTTTCTCCTGGTAAGTCCCCTTCCCCATACCCTGCTGGTTGCCAGGAGGGACCTGATAACCCTAGAAATAATTCTACAAAATGTTTTAATGGATAAATGATGCCAAGCAGCCAAGGGGTTGTGTCTTACTCCAGAGGTCCGATTACTAGCAAAAACTGTAGTCTAGTTAATTTGTTCATAATACCATATGAAGTGAACTAATATATCTAGAGCATAAACAATGTTAATGCTGTTAAAGGTGAAAATGTATAATACAATGAGCTGTTTGTATAAGAATATAACTTCTAGGCTACAAAAAATGCATTTTTGGCACTCTCTGTTTTCTAGGTCAGGGAATGTCTCTTCACTTGGAATTCAACCCACTTGGTTCCCCTTCAGTTCTACCCTGATGGACAGGCAGCGTCTTGATTTTGCCCTTGAAGTTTATGATAGTGAGTAGACCAATCAGCTGAAACCTGTAGTCCCTCATTGTAAAAAGCTAGCTATAGCAGTAAGATAACCTAGGAATCAGCTTGTATGACAACCTAGTCGTGTTCCCTCATTCAGATGCAGGATTTTCCCTCTGTTTTTTCTTCCTACGTGGCTGAGCAGCCCTTTTGTCTTTTTTCTTCTTTTGTGAAGGTTTATGGCTGTCCCACCCTGTCACAGTATTATAGTTTGATGCTGGCTCTTTAACTTAAACTTCTGAATATGGCTTTTTAAAAAAAAAAGAAAAAAAGAGGCTTTTTAAAGTCCAAAAACAAACAAAAATATTTTATTCAACATAGAGGGGAAAAGTTCAGGTGAAATCAGGGGTAAAATGTCTGATTTAATTCAGTAAGAACTCTGGGGTAACTTAGTATAGGCAGTTAATATATTTCAAGCAATTGAGAGTTTTAAAGCTTTTCACAGTGAGGAATTTCACATTACCCTTTTTAAGCCAGTTTGAAGTAGTTTTTTATCCGTTGTGGAGTAAACCGGTATAGGGCTGCCATTTCATACATGGCTTTCCCCTACCGGTAAACAGCTGGATCTGAAGCGGTTTGCCATTTCAGACTGCACTGCTTTCCCCCGCTTTTTCCTGCCGTTTTTCGCCCACGCGGGCAATCTCCGGCTTTTTTTTTTTTAAAAAAACATTCACTTTAGAGCGCTATAGCGCTATAACATAACACTCCAGGCATTCCAATGGGGTTGCTATAATGCTGTTTTGCTGTTGTGTTATAGCGCTATAGCACTCTAAAGCGACCCTTAAAAAAAAAGCCGGAGATCGCCCGCATGGGCGAAAAACGGCGGGAAAAAGTGTTTTGGATCCGGGAGAAGAAACTGAAGACTACTTGGAAGTGGTTTACAGGTAAAACAGTTCAGCCCCATTTCCTGAACAGGACAGAAGCATTTGTGTGTGAAAGTACAAATATATTCCGGTAGGGAACCGGTTCTAAAATGGTTCTGTCTGAAATGTCAGACCAGAAACCGTTTGGGAACCGTTCCTGAACTGGAATATATTGCCTGTCTGAAATTCCTCAGTGTCTTACAACCATTGAGATGGGAGGCTTTGGTTTCAATGTTTCCTAAACAGTATACTTTCTTGAGTTTAACTGACACTTTCCAGAAGGCAGAGATACACTACCAAGTGCCCAGATTCCTTCTCCAAACACACCAGATCAGGATCACTCCACTCTTCAGAGCTATCTCCCTTTCAACTGGGTAGGGTTTAATTTCGCTCTCTAGAAGATTTATCCCTTTTCCTGGCCCAAATCAGGGTCTTCACTGATCCACCCACTCCTCCCTGCCAACCTTCCCAGTTCTCTGTCAATGTTAAACATTCTTCAGTCAGAGCTAAACTCTTCTCAGTCAGGGCTTAACTCCAACTCAGTCAATACTAAACTGAATTCTCCTCAGCAATCAGTTCCCAAGTCTATCTGCTCAACTGATGCTAACCAATCAAATCCCTTTGTGCAGCCTGTTACTCAAGGCTCTATGGCTCTGTGAGGCATTAACCCTTCACAGTCTATTACATGTTTATATAGCACTTATGAGCTTTTAAAGTGCACAGTCATAGCTTGTTACTCTTGTGTTGCTGCTGATAGCTTATCCAGGAGTCTTGAATGGGTGTTAAAGGCTTGTTGCTCGTGGTGTGTACTCATTACCAAAGGAAGCTAGTTTTATGGGCCACTAAAATTCTGTGACAGTTGGTAACAGTAGGGCAGTCGTGTGTGCACTATATCATCAGAGGATGTCTAGGCTCTTTCAGGTGACATCTTTGGATGACTGAATGCATGCAGGGAGGGGAATTACCTCCTGGGCTGATGCCTCACACATTAATTTGGAGCTGAAATAGTACATATGCATGATGGGGCTCTTGGCATGATGAGGAACACTGGAAAAGCAGATGCTTCTGTTTTAGCCTTCAGTTTACCACGGGGGTTTGGGAGACTGTGCGATCCTGTTCTCCCTTCCCTCCATACACATAGTCACCCCTCCGGGGGCTTTTCTCAAACCACTTCCAGCTCTCAAAACATTGTGACTGAAGCTTTTATTGTAGACTAAGTAGGGTCTTGGAAATTACCAAGAAAATGCAGCTTGGCCACGGCATGCAAAACAGGGTTCCAGGGATGGGTTCCCAAACTAGCATCAGTAGACTCAGTCTTGTAGATTGTCATGAACGCCGTGGATCCTATTCAGATCCAGTCTGCTGACAGTCCTCAAACTCACAAGGAAATTTCTGCCTGTGTTCTGGAGAGCTGGGTTTAGCTATAACCATCAGACGTTTTGCCTCATCTGTCTTTCAGATACCTGGTCACACCCCATCTCCAACCCTCTTTACCATTTTGGGGACCTTATCAACATCCAAGCATCGGTTAGAAAGGGTAACCATGTACCCCTGAAGATATATGTAGATGAGTGTGTTGCCCGACCAAGTGCTGAGTCCTCTGTGAAATATGAAGTCATCACAAATCATGGGTGAGACATCAGCTGAAACCTGTAGTCCCTCATTGTAAAAAGCTAGCTATAGCAGTAAGATAACCATAGTTGGTTGCCAACTATGGTTTGGGAAATTCCTGGAGATTTGGAGATAAAGCCTAGGGAGGGCAGGATCTGGGGAGTAAAGGAACCTTAGCAGGATATAGTGGTGTAGAGTCTACCCTCCAGAGCAGCTATTTTCTCCAGGGGAACTGATCTCTATAGCCTAGGGATCAGTTGCAATTCCAGGAGATCTCTAGGCTCCACCTGAAGGTTGGCAACCTTACCAGGGACCAGTATTCCTTCTAAGCTGTGCTAGGGGGCACTGGCACACAAAGTTTTAGCTGGCTGTTCACAGGTTTCAGCTTCCTGCCCACAAGCCTTATTTCCCTCCATTGGAAACAATGGAAGATGGGGGCACCTCCTTCTACCTCAAAAAACAACCCCCGATATACCCATGGATCAATTCTCCATTATAGCCTGTGGGGCCCATTGACTATAATGGTCCCCATAAGCTATAATAGAGCAGGAAAAAATCAAAAAAAAATGCACACCCCTATTATGCTTTTCAGTGTGATCTAAACGGTGCCTTTATATCCCATGGAAAAGTGGGATATAAATATTTGAATAAAGAAGTAGTTTTGGCAAGTTGATAACATATACTCTCCCCATCCCTCGTAACCCCTCCCCCCCAAGGCTGGTTAGCTGAATCCCCCCCCCAATCTGGAATGTATATTGCCTTATTTATTGATCTGTCTTTAGATAGTTTTAATGCCAGTTTAAATTTAATTTAATTTAAATTACTTATTGTATGTTATTTTGTTGTAAGGGTGCTCTGAGCCCTACTTGTAAATAAACTTATTAAATAAATAAAAGCAACTTCCTACTTCTTAGGTTAGGCAGGGTTCTGACAGTGATTGTTTCACCTCTGTTATACTTGACCTGTAAATTTGTCATACTTCACTAAAAAAAAACCCCAAAGTAGACTGCAAGAGTGCCCCCCCCCAAAAAAATGCTGGTATGTTTCCTAAGGCTCAGTGCAAGGTGACAATCTGAGGCCAGGTCTACCAACATAGCAGAAAGGGTGGGTAGACCTGTTCTCCAGAGGCCCAGTCTATCAGTAAAGTAGACTGGGGTGGGTAGACCTGTTCTCCAGAGGCCAGGTCTACCAGTATAGTGGAAAGGGGCAGGTAGACCCATTCTCCAGAGGCCTGATCTACCCCCATAGAGGACAACATTTTTTGTAATGAAATTTGACTTGATTCTGTTTTCTCTTATAATGTTTAAATTATTCTTAAAATATAGTTTAAATATAGTTTAAAAGAATTCATTCTAAGATGTTTACAAGGTTATGGAAATTATCTTCTAAAAACTAATTTATGCGATAGTCAAATGTAGACTCACTCACAACTTTAATGCTACTTGATTTTTTTGCTCACGGGGTAGAATTTTTGCTCACAACACTGTGGAGCTTAGAGGGAACATTGCCAGGTACTGATTGCAGAAGGTAAGGTAAGGGCCTTCTCTAGCTTCTAAGGATGTCTGGCAACAGCAAGCGAACAGTAGCTTGGCCCTAACCAGATACAAATGTGGCACTGTCAGAATCATCTCCTATATTTCCTTTCAAAAAACAATAGTAAACCTGAGGGCAGGGGGGCTTTGTCTCCAGACTGATGTGAGCTGCTTTGGGAGATAACTGTTTGCAAAGCAGAATATTGGATTTACTATCTTAGAAGTTTTATAGTGATCGTGTGGTGAAGAAAACAATATTAATGTACACCAAAATTAATATGGTCAGTCCATAGACATGCAAAAATAAATCCACAAGAACTTTGTACAGTGCGCTCAATATTTCTTTAACAAAAATCGTGAAGTTATGAATATGAAAATACAAAAGTAATAATAATACATTCAAATTATAGATTCAGGTACATTAAGATAGAAGGTGACAACAATGGGACGGTAGTCTCCAGAATGCAGTGCCGTTTCGACAGACGTCTTCTTCTAACCAATAGTCTATAAGCCAAAAAATAGTATATATATGCAATTTTTCATATATTATCAAGTAAGGCTTTGTACTAATTTCATGTTATTTCATTGTACAATTACCAAGATGTAAGCATTGTTGTTTCTATATATATTATACTATTTTTTGGCTTATAGACTATTGGTTAGAAGAAGACGTCTGTCGAAACGGCACTGCATTCCGGAGACTACCGTCCCGTTGTTGTCACCTTCTATCTTTATGTACCTGAATCTATAATTTGAATGTATTATTATTACTTTTGTATTTTCATATTCATAACTTCACGATTTGAGCGCACTGTACACAGTTCTTGTGGATTCATTTTTGCATGAAAAAAACAATATGCCATATTCACATAGTCTTTCTACCCATCCTGCAGGTGCCTCATTGACGGGCAGCACAGCCGCTCTCACTTCCTTGCCACTCAAGCAACTGAAACTCTCCGCTTCCAGCTGGATACCTTCACCTTCATTGAAGCCTCCAACCAGGTGGATATGAGGGGTGGAGAGAAATAGGAATTGAGTCTCAAATGTGGGACTTGTATACCTCTCTCACTAGTGCAAGTCATGTATGTCACTGCTAGAACACTGTTGGGGAGTTACATACACTGGAAGTGATAACACTAGTCGTATCATGGCAATATCCCTTTTTAGTTGTTACATTTTCAGTAGTTCTACCACACATATCAGGACAACAAGCAACATGCAATCATTTCAATACACACTGTGATCTTTCACTGTACTCTTTAATTGTGTGACGAGAGGGTGTCTTCTCGATACCCTGTGACATGTAGGGTCCCTCGGGGGGCTATCCTCTCCCCGATGTTATTCAACATCTACATGCACCCCCTCACCCAGCTGGCACGGAGTTTTAGGCTGGGTTGCCATCAGTACACTGATGACACCCAGCTGTACCTGCTGATGAACGGACAGCTGGACACCACCCCAGGTAATCTGGCCAAAGGTCTGGAGGCTGTGGTGGGATGGCTGAAGCAGAGTTGGCTGAGATTAAATCCATTAAAGACAGAGGCTCTTTGGCTGGCTGGGGGGGGGGACTCAGAATTGTGGTATCAGCTCCCAGCTCTTGACCATATGCCCCTAACACCGGGGCAGACTGTCAAGAGCCTGGGTGTGGTCCTGGATGCCTCCTTGTCAATGGAAGCCCAGGTCACAAATGTTGCCAGGCTGGCATTTTACCAACTAGGTCAGGTTAGGTACCTGTCTTGCCCCGATCTAGCCACGGTAATCCATGCAACAGTCACCTCTAGACTTGATTACTGTAATTCGCTCAACACAGGGCTGCCCTTGAGGCTGACCTGGAAGTTATAGCTTGTCCAGAATGTAGCAGCTTGGGTCCTCATGGGGACACCGGTAACAGCACACATACGACCTGTGCTCCACCAGCTGCACTGGCTCCAAGTTGAGTACTTGGTCAGGTTCAAGGACCTTTAAGGCCCTGAATGGTCAGGGATAGGGTTGCCAAGTGGTTTTTGAGCCACAGCGGGGGACTCCCGGCTGGCGGCTGGAGTGCGCGCGCACATCACCCAGAAGTGACGTGATGATGCCAGGCACGCTGGGGGCGGGGGCACGACCATCTGAGGGAAAACCATAGAGTTTTCCCTCGGATGACCGTGGCCTCGCCCCCAGCGTGCCCGGTGTGGTCGCGTCACTTCCGGGTGACATGCACGTCGGGGTGGGGTTCCCCCCGGGGCCCGATCCGGCGGTGGGAAACGGGCCTCTGGGGCGGGGGGTTCCCTGCCTCCTGGGGGGACTTGACAAGCCTAGTCAGGGACCAGTGTATCTGTGGGCCCCCCTCTCCTGGTATGTGCCCCAGAGAGCATTATGCTCAAGCTATCAACATCTATTAGAAGCCCCTGGCCCAAAGAGTGTCCAACTATCCTCACCCATAACCAGGGCCTTTAGGCCCTGGCGCAAGCTTGGTGGAATTCTCAGCCTACCAACTTCAGGGTCCTGCGGGATCTGATGCAATCCCACAGGGCCTGTTAGGCAGAGATGTTCTGCCAAGCACGTGGTTGAAGACAGCAATGGTTTTGATATGAATGGTATTTTAATATCAATGGGTTTAACATCTAACTATCGATCATCTATCACTGCTCCTATAGCAATAGCCTTGAGCAGAAAATAAAAGTATAAAATAATGCCTTACTTAGTGTTATTCTTCTGTTGTTTAATTATTTTGTTGCTTAATTATATAAATTTTGCCACAGAGAGAATAACAAAATCAGTAACCACGTCAGCAGTGCCCTCCTACTGTCAGATGCCTCAGTGGGCATTTCCCTTTTTTCTAAGTAAAGAAGTCATTCAACTAGCTCTCAGCTCATAAAATATAGGGCACATTTCATAATCATATGTTCAATTGTTTCAGTTTTATCATGTGATCATCTACATGTTCGATTTGAATGTAGCACTTTTTTATATCTACCCTCCAAAACCACTGATGGAACGGCATTCATTCTTGCCAGAGTAAAAACTTTGGTATTGTCAAACAATAAAAATATTTTGGCAGTTGCATCGGGAGCGGTATAAACACATGAGATGCCGAACATACTCTATGGGCCCTGACAGATGTACTATCAGTATCGAGTTTCTTTACACACATTTTAATTAACCTAGTTATTTCTGTGGTCTCTGTAGTCTTTACCATATCATTTATTATTCCTAAACATTTCGTTTTCTTTTCCAGTAGATTATCCCGATGGCTAATATGCGCATCTGCCTGTACAAGTCCGAGTAGAGTAGGCCTGCCTCAGATTTTAAGATTGTAACTTTCAAGAGGAATGCTTTCATCCATGCCTTAGCCTCCATTGACTGTTCACCAAGTTCAGCTCTCAGTGCTATGCCTGAAACATCCAGGAGTAGCCAATAAGCGTCGAAAGAAATCATACTAAATATGGCTCATTCTCTCAATGACAGTGTCAATCCAGATTTCTGCACCATATAAAAAATACCTTTAAAGCCAAGGGGACAAATTCACCTCCTGCTGTATAAAAATATTTTACAATCGTCTTCCCCAACTTTCAAGGCAGCATTTCTCACCAGGTCCAAGTGTGGTTTCCATGTAAGAAGTGCATTGAAATTAATTCCCAAGTATTTAAATTGATTAACTTGTTCCATAGATTGACCTGCTATATTCCAATTAAAATTCTTCTCTCTTATCTTTTTACTAAATACTAAAACCTTAGATTTTGCTACATTAATAGACAGACCTTCATGATTACATTAGTCCTCAAAATTTTAATCAGTTTACAAAGCCCCACAACTGATCTGGACATTGTCTGCATATAAAAGAATCAGATTCTTGCATTTGGATAAATATGGGAGATAGAAATCATTCCTCAAAAGGCAAGGTCTGAGATTATTAATATATAAATTGAACAACAGGAGTGCAAGAATACATCCCTGTTTTATGCCTTTGTGCAAGGAGAGTACCCCAGATAACTGGCCCAGCTTCCCGCACATGACCTGGGCGGGGGTTTCCCAGCTATATAGCTGTTGTATTAAATAAAGGAGACGAGATTCAGTGCCATACTTCTTCAGCTTTACCCATAATTGGGGCCTGGAGATTGTATCAAATGCTGATTTAAGATCCATAAAGGCAACTGCCAATATACCTTCCAGAGCTCATGTTTTATCTACTAGGTATTGGAGTGTATGACAATGATCAATTGTACTTGCTCCTTTCCTGAAGCCAGCCTGTTCAATCCCAAGAATATTATTTTCTTTGACCCAGGATTTAAGCTTCCCAAAGAGCATTGCAGCATAAAGTTTTCCTATGGTGGACAACAAGCTTATTGGACGAAAATCTTTGGATCCATCGGGTCCCCCCTTTTATAAATCACATTACGCCAAACTTCGGGTATATTTCCCATCTTATTTATATCTGTAAAAACTAAGGCCAGAATCTGTACCCACCAGTTTGGGTCAATTTTAAACAGTTCCGTTGGTATTAGGTCAGGGCCCTTTCCCCCCCTTTTTTTTGTTGCTTATTCAAGATCTTAATTTCACTGGTCGACACCAGGGGGCATTCTTTCGTATCTGGTGGCAGTTTTGGTCTACCATCCGGGATATCTCCCTTTATTTGTGAAAATAGTAGTAAAAAAGGCTTCCCAGACAGCTGCCAGAATGTGGCAAGGTACAGGGAACCTTGTATTTAATCCTTTTGCTATTAAAGTCCAGAGTTTGTCATTTTTTGTTTTTATGGCCCAGAATAAACGTTCCCATTCATTTTTCTGAGCCTCAGTCTCATGTTCTGCTCTATTCCTCCTTGTCTGGGGTGAGGTCTCCAAGTTCGTTAAGAGAGATGACTTCTCTTTCTAGTAGTATGACTGTACAGGGAGCACCTGATATCTTTTAAGATATCTCTGCATAGAAAATATCAAAGTTGGAATCCAGGGGTAATAGAAATGAGGCCTAATTCTATCGCCTCTTAGAAATCCCAGGATATGCTCCACAAATTTTAAATCAATAGAAGACAGGAGGGCTGGCATGATGTGTTCCATGGGGTCGTGAAGAGTTGGACTCGACTGTGCAACTGAACAACAACAATTTATGTAACAAATAAGAAAGATGTTCTCGGGCGTCCCATTTACTCAACCAATTTATCGCCACCCTTTATAGGGGAGGATGTTCAACACTACTTTGTTACATTCAAGTGTCAGGGGGTGTGAACACAGATCCAGGTTTGATACGAATTTCAAATGGCCTTCCTTTTGCTTTTCCATGTTAGGCATTCCACTCTTCTCTTCCTTGCCCTTAGGCTGATATAGCATCCCATCATTTTGTTTGCATGGCTTTTGTGTTTTCATTGGAAGTTTTTATAGTAAGAAACTCCTCTATCTTACTCTGCTTAGAAGGGGGTAGGTTTTCATCAAGGGCGCGCAACCTTTTCCTTCCCATTGTTAATATCAATCTAATAAGGCTTAATCAGTGTTACTAGATAGATAGCTGGAATCAATTTAATAGAGATTTTAACTCCTTCACCTTCTCCAAACCCCTCACCATCTTCATTGCTCTCCTCTGGATATGTTCCAGCTTGTCTATATCCTTCTTAAATTGTGATGCCCAAAACTGAACACAATACTCTAGGTGAGGTCTAACCAGAGCAGAATAAAGTGGTACCATCACATCTTGTGATCTGGACACTATACTTCTGTTGATACAGCCCAAAATTGCATTTGCCTTTTTAGCAACCGCATCACACTGCTGATTCATGTTCAGTGTATGATCTACTAAGACCCCTAGATCCTTTTCGCACATACTACTGCCAAGACAAGTCTCCCCCAACCTATAATTATGCATTTGATTTTTCCTACCTAAATGCAGAACTTTACATTTATCCCCATTGAAATTCATTAAATTTCTTTTAGCCCAGTTTTGCAGCCTGTCAGGATCATCCTGTATCCTGACTCTGTCTTCTACCATATTTGCTACCCCTCCCAATTTAGTATCATCTGCAAATTTAATAAGCG